GGCGTGGCCCCGCGCCTCGGCAAGCGCTCGGGACGGCGCCCGCGTCTCCGCCCCCGACGCACCGGGAAGCGCGAGGCCGAGTGGGCAGCAGGCGGGGCTCTGAGGCGCACCGCGGCGACCGAAAGTCCGGGGTTTCGGGTGTGACTGCGCCAGGCATCTGCGGCGTGCTGCGACTCAGCCTGCGGGCTGGCCCCGTCCTGTTTTTGTCCCTTGTTTTTGAGAGGCGTCTTGTTGTGCTGTTGGAGCCGGCCTGCAGCTCCTGGGCTCCAGGGATCCTCCCGCCTCAGCCTCCTGAGCAGCTGGGACTACAGCGTCCGGCACTGAGCCAGGGTGCTGCCCTTAGCTTGGTTTTGTTTGTAACGGGTAAAGTTTCTGGACTTGGGGAATAAAGAGTTAAACATAACATGCGGCAATAATATCCGTAATTAGTTTAGCATTAAAGTTTGTGATGAGTTTAACAATTTGGATAAAAGTATTGATAAAAGTAAACAAAATAGAGCCCGCCAAAAACAATGTATACACCAGGAAAAGAAAAACTTGTATAAACATTTTAATCTTAAATTTACGGAGACATATTCAGGAGAATAATGCCATTTACCTTTGGCCTCTATCATTGCAACACGCACTCCAAGTGGTGGCCAGCTGACTGCAGGGTTTATCAGCGGAAGTTATCATTGTCATGTAAGAAAGGATTCAAATTACATTCACTGTACAAAATTGATATGTAACATATAATTTCATACACAATTCAATTTAAGAGGAAGGGGAGATGACACTATATTTAATTTACTATACCTGTAAGAATTACATAGCGTTTTGTTCCATAAAGGATATAAAAAAAAAGTCAAATATTGTTTGTAAAAGTTGCTAAAAATGTCCAAGTAATGGCAGCCCCGCCCAGGGACTGAAATTTCAGGAGGTTTGAAAGTAGTTTCGAGCCATACACCAGTTGAAAGGTTAAAGGAAGTAGATTTGTGGACCTATCACATTACAAAAGCGACCACTAAGCCCCTACTAATGTATCCCTTTTGTTTGTCCCCTGCAGACCTCAAAGGCGGAGAGGCTGTGGAGTCCGGGGTGGGTTGGGTTACATTCACGCTGAGCACCCAGCCTTCCCTTCCCCAGGGGAGACAGGCATTCCCGTGGTCTTCCGGCTCCTGGAAGTACTGGCAAGCCAGGAAGAGGAAACAGTCCCAGCTCACACAGGCTTGTGTCTTTGGACCGGCAGCACCAGGGACCCTCAGGACCTCGCCGTGCCGTGCTCCCTGCTGCAGCAGCTCGGAGGCGGCTGTGCCGGCGAGGGGTGTGTGTGTGTGTGTGTGTGTGTGTGTGTGTGTGAAAGTAGCTGTATATCTATCCTAACTATTCTGTATATACAGATATTTTGGGGAAAAAAGGATACAAAGGAAGGACCATTTTGTATCTATATATTCAAAATAGTTAGGACAGACATATAGCTACTTTCTCTTAATTCAATGAGAAGATTTGTACTAATAGTGTTTGGACAGGATATCATGTCTGCATCTTGTACTATGAATAACCACTACGAAGACAACAATATGCAATGTATTAATCATTGAAACTGTCCTACTAATCAGCTTTGAAACTGTCACATTGCTATTTGTTTCTCAATAAAATTAATAAAAATAAAAATAAAATTGTACTACTAATTCTTAACTAGCTCATTGAAAAGAACAGTTAGTGCTCGTGTTGTCTGATCAGTCTTGCCGGCCTGTCGCTGCTCATCGGAGCAAATGCTTTGAAGATAACCATATGCAACACAACAACTGTTGTTAATTTCCTGTCATCTTATTTTCAAGTTTGGTATCATTTTTATTGTTTTTTAATTATCCTTAAAAAATGTAACAGTCCATCAATTAAGTATCTTGCTTGGTTAGATTCATGTCAAAGCTATTGAAGACTGGAAAACCAACATACTGTCTGTACTTAAGACTGATAATGGAGGGGCCAGAGAAATAGCTCAGTGATATAAGCGTCTGCCTGGCAAGTGCAAGGACCCGGGTTCGAGCCCTGGTACCACATGCTGTGCAGCCCCAAAACCCCGGGCTCTGTGTCAGCCACTGCATGCCTGTAATCCCAGCACTGGGGAGGCTGAGATAGGAGGATCACTACACTTCTGGTCCACATAGTGAGACCTGTACCAAATAAATAAATAAAATATTTTTTAAAAGGAATGATAATAGAAAACATACATACAGAGAAATGAGGACAGAATTACAACTTATGAGTGCAAATATTTCTGACCCAGCCTCAATGCCTTGATGTTTGGTTCTCTCTCTGGCCCCAGTTTTGGGTACTGTTTTATGGTTAGGACACATGGACATGTAGCTCGCATGTGACGGCAGTGTAGAGTTTTGTTTATTTATTTATTTATTTATTTATTTTATTTTAGGGGAGGATCTACAGGGTGCTCAGGGTCTCGCTTCCACGAGATCGGACTCCTAGTGACCCGCCTGTTTACAGCCTCCCGAGAGCTGGGATTGCAGGCGGCCACCGTGCCAGTCTGTGTACTGACTGACTGATGCTGATGAACGCCGGCAGAACACGGCCAGCACCTGGCGGAGGCTGGGACCCTCGTGGCAGAGTCCCCTGAGGGGAACTGGGACTTGGAATATCAGCCACTCGCGCTTTTGGGATCAAGGACATACAAGAAGGGTCTGGTGTATTTTGTTGCCAACAACCAAAGAAGTTGAAACTGTTGTCAAAATGTTTTCAAGCCTCCAGGACCAGCTCAGAGTATCTTTACTTCGATCACGGTATTTTGGTCACCAAAACGGAGCTAAAGGCTACAAATAATTGGAACAACTCGCAGGGACAGAAAGCCACACTAAGCCACAGTCTGTCACAGCATTATGAGAAAAGTAAGGTCTGGAGAGAACCTGGCCCTAAGGATGGTTGCCGTTATGTCCCCTTAAGCGGCCCAGATGCTGTCTGGCCCTGCTAGACTCTGCCAGAAGGCGGAAGGTGCAACTGCTAGCCCCAAAGAGCCTGGCGCGCTGTTAGGAGGGCAAGGAGCGGGCTCTAGGAGCCCAAGGGGAAGGAAGACCTTGGAGAAGCAAGAGCGAATGGAAGGCGCCAGCGCACAGGGGGCGAGCGCCCTCTGCCCTCTAGTGGCTGTCTCTGGTAGTGACGGGACATCGCCTCCCACGTCTGCGCCGCGCGGACTCCGTTAAATATGGTACCAAGGACTGACACCAAACGGGGCCCTGAATCATTCGTGGATTTGTGCTTACACCAGGCTTCATGGAACGGACCTCCCCACAGCCGGTGCACAAAGAACAAAGTGCTTGTGGGTGGTGGTCTGGGGGCGACATGGGAGAAGCTCCGCGGCGGGCTGCTGGGGTGCTCTCCCCGGCCCTGAGCTGGCCTCCTGCGGGGAGCACGGAGGCCGGGAGCGAGAGGGCTCCCAGCTGCCGGCCCTGGTGTGAGCCCAAGAAAGGCGGCGGGGAGTGGACGGCCCATTCCCCAGAGCTGAGTCACGTCTGCTCCCTAGAAAGGATGAAATTTCTAGAAGAAGGTCGGGAGAACACGGCAGCTGAGGTCCCCCTTTGTGTGTATTTTGAGATCACTTATTAGTCAAATGATAAGAAGAGTTTATTTTATGGTTAAAACATCAAATTCTAACAGTTTTATTTTAGCTTGTTATGGAGGCACATACCCTTATAATCCTGCCATTCTGAGAGGCTGAGGCAGGAGGACCACAACTTTGAGCCCAGAGTTTGGGCCTAGGGCTACATTCCTGCTCTACAGAGGAAGAGAGGGGGGAGGGAGGGGGAGGG